GCTTTTTTTAATTTAGGCTGAAATCCTCCCAATGTTTTACCAGCTGTTCTTATGAAATGAATCAATAATTCAACCGTGGGCTCAGAGACGGGGTTACCAGAGACCACAGCTAAGTCCGTGATCCCGGGTCCCTGAACCTGTGGAGGACAGGCTTGCCTGCCAGTCTGCTAGATCTCTTTAGCGAGTCTTGCCGAGCGCAAATCCCACGTCTGGTTCAGTCACTGCATCACCTTTTGAAAGATGGATTTTCCGCCATCACTGGGTCTGTAAATAGTGTGGCCTGATGCCCTCTATTTTATTTTACACAAGGCCTTCCTCTCCAGAACTGCACGGTCTACAGCGACAGTCTAGCCCAGCCTGCCACTCACGTGATCTGTCCATCCAGTTCAGGGCCGCTGGGGGAGCTGGAGCCCATCCTGGCAAGCAACGGGCGCCAGGCAGGGTACCCCCTGGACGAGACGCCAGTCCACCGCAGGGCACACACAGATACAGACACACACTCACACCAGGGCCAGTTCTCCCAGAAGCCATTTAACCCACCAGCAGGTCTCTGGACAGTGGGAGGAAACCGGGGCACCTGGAGGAAACCCACACAAACATGGGGAGAACATGCAAACTCCACACAGACAGCACCCCAGGGCCCCAGCACTGTGAGGCTTTTACCATCAGGAGACTCCCACAGGCCCTAGGGTCCTAGTTGAAAACGCTTTGGCCAGGAGATTTATGCTGGAAACCATAAAAAAACACGCCTTAATGTTTTCTTTTTAACAGTAACTGTAAATCCTGCGTGCAACAGCAGACTGAGCAACGCTGGCTGTAAAGATCTGTTTCCTAAAGGGAAGGGCTCTATCTACTGGTTACAGTTTGTCATTACACCATCATGAGCACCCCTGGGTATTCTGTCACAGCGGGGAATTGATACCGGCACATTCAAACTCCTTTTTCCTCTTGTAACAGAATTAAAACATTCACAAACTCACTTGTTTCTAGTACCTCTCGTGTAGCTGCGATCTTTTTAAAGGCTAAGGTGTCCAGTGGCTTTCACATAATTATTCTGGGTTTCAAGGCAAAACCGTGTCAGAAAACAATTCTGGTCTTTCGAAATGGGAAAATACGCTCATTGTACAGTGGCGTCGGTAGCCTTAAACGTCTGTATGTTTTTAATTTATTTACACTTGCGTTACTTTTGTTAGAAGCATGAACAACCTACTGTCAGGCTGTAAAATCGTGGCGGGTTGACGGCGTTTGCACGATTTAGCCACCAGATGGCGCACGAATTCACTGTCCTAGAGTGAACCACCCCATTCAAAATCACCCCGGGGAGAAAATGACCCTTTTTCAACATCCCACACGCACAGAGTGCATTCCTGCCCCTTCCTCGGCGAGCCTGAGTGAAAAACGGCGTAGTGCAGTAGGAATGTGATCAGCTCCTCTCCCGCACCCGTTATTTAAAGGATGTGTTTTTTAAAATAAAGTCTTATACGAAATAAATATTTCGTTTTCCAGTCGTTTGACGTTACTAATTAGAATGCTCGTTGACACATTATGAATAAATGAAAGAATATTTTATTGATCATTCTTTCCTATGAGGCTTTATTTCGAAAAGACAGCATTTTCCATTTCTTATGAACTCACACGAGGACGAGAAGTGTGCATGCACAGATGTCAATCTGCATATAACCACCACACTCCATAAACACAGCTCGTCAGCGCACTTGTGTTCATAAGGAAGATTGTCATACTGGTTGGGTGTATTTATTTTAAGCAAAAATGGATTTCCGGGGACGTTTATTAAACAAATCCCGATAGCGGAGCGGCAGAAACCGGAAAAATTAGCTAACGTTTCGATCCCTGAGGGGGAAATATTTGATTTAAATAATGCATCATACTGAAAAGAAAATGAACATATCTTGTACCGTAGATTTCAGATCACACTTCATCAACTGAGGATAACCCGTGCAATGCACCGATAATATCATAGTTCAAAAAATGGAAATATGATTATTTTAAGCTCATTTCAATTTGTGGATTTAAATACACCGATGTTCTCCGACTGGCAAGCCCTACACAATACTTGAATTTCTGTAAATCAACTGTTGTACTTCTTCTGGCTAAACCCACACCCAAACGGAGTTTCTCGTTGAAGAAAAAAGATGCGAATTGTTTCGTTGTTATTTTGAGAGGAAAAAAGACTATAACGTGTTTGTATCACGTTATATAAAATAATACACTCGCAAGTGCGTACCACATCACTCGGGCCAGTCCTTGTGTGTCCTTTTATTGTGTTTATCAAGCCTATCTTCTACTTCATAATGAGGGTTTCTCAAGTGTAACAATATGTCTTCGGGAATTATTTATATGGTGATATCTTATTATAATAATATTTTATTTTATTATGTTAATGTGACATTTTTTTTTGGTATAGAACTAGAAACGAAGTTGTTTTTTTTCTTTCTTAATCTCTTTGTTTGACTCCTCAGGTTTGGGCGAGCTTTTGTCATGCGTTCATCAAGGCATTTTTTTTTTCCCAGTATAAGCAAATTTCTCTTGTGTACCAGTCTTCCATTGGTCGAATCAGCACAGTCAGATTCTACCACAAATTTATCAGATTGGAAATCAGGGAGGAGAAACGGCAGCCGAGGACAGAGGCTTGAATTTGAAGACGGGATTTTAAGACAGCGCAAGACCCCGCTCAAAGAGGAAGGAGAGACATTAACCGCCAGGAAAACTAAAAGTAATTTAAAACTTGCGGGCAAGAGAAACGGACAGCTAAGAGCTGGTTTCGTTTGACACTTTGTGCAGTGAAGGTAAGAGGAAAATGTATTATAGTTTCATTAGATTCCAGTGTAGCTAATTAGAAATGCTCTCCCAGTAAGGGACACTGTGGTAAAACTACGCACTTAATATATGACCAGGTTTGCGAGCGATAATCAGCAGTGTTTTTAATTAATTCGATAACAAGCGTGAAATGCACTTCATGTGTATGTAGGACATTTATACAGCGTCTTCTTACTCGATACTTCTGAAGTTTTGGAAATGTTTCATGCATACGTCTGGAAATCCAATATTAGTTTCTGAAATGGAAATTAATAAAGCTGTTTTTTTTTTGTAAATCAATCTGCTTTTACTTTTCTGGCCTGACCGACCATCTAAATTGTTGTTTGTCAGCTGCTTAAAAATGCGACGGTAACAGATTATAATCCCGATCATGTACGATTGTAAATTAATTGCACTTTAATTTCAGGAAAAGGTCTTGCAATAGCACGTCAAATGAAAGAACAAACGAGTTGTATTACCAAAATTGTTTAAGTATTGGGTGGTTTAAAAATCGCACAATTCTGACCTTTTTAGGTCTTAATGCTGTATAATGAAACGGTAATCTTTTTCTGCAATATGTTAAGTGTACACAGGCCAAAAAAGTTGTATTCTTAGGTTCTATTTGTAGCATAATTAACTTTTAAAACTCTTTAGCCCTACCTCGAGAGTCGAAAGTTTATACAGCTTTATATAAACGAATTATTTCATTTGAACCACAGCGTTTATATTAAGTCACTTGTTACGGGTCTTCTAATTCGGCAGAATGCACGGGCATGAAGCCTATATCTACACCATATTCCTACGGTGCTGTAATCCTGAAACAACACAGTGCAAATACAGTACATGGGCGGATCAGCGGGAGCACTGAAACTAATTTGCTTATTTTGTTGAAAAGCGTTGACGTTTTTTAGTTTGATTTGTTTTCGTCGATTAGGAAAATGTCGGGTAAAGGGCTTCATCATGTAAATATTACCGTCATTCATTAGTCAGCCTCCCAATAAACCTTTTTCAGAATAACCGGGAGGTTTCGAGACTTGTGCGCTGAAGAGCAGAGCATCGCATTATAAACAGAATGAGTGTGGAATCGCCCGGTCTGTGTGGTGGGAACGTCAGGTCTTCGGCGATACTTGTCTGAATCAGTGGTCTCAAACGCACCTGCAGTGTAACTGGTGCAGAGGCCAATTCAAATGAAGCTCACAGCGGATTAATCAGCCTTTGATTATATTGAAGTGGGAGAGTATTGAAGACTCACTGACCCACGCCAGGAAAAGGAAATCCTACAATTAGTGGTGTATTGTTAGACAAACGAAAGTTCTTCAATTTCGCTATGATACTGTACTAATTATGATATAACGTTCAGAGTCCGTGGTTTGAATAACAGTACCCCTGTTTTTATTATTATTATTATTATTATTGTTATTATTATTATTATTATTCATGTTGCGTGTCGGATAGCTTCCCCTCACAGTCCCTGGCTGTGATTCTGATTGATTGCCCGAGGCGCCTTCTGTGTGAAGTCTGCATGTTCTTCGTGGTTCCGTGCAGGTTCGCCCCCACAGTCCCAAGACACGCTGTTCGGAATAATCGGTGTCTATACATGTATATACACGGTCTATACATGGTCAGTCTTCACCAGTCTATGTAAACAGACAGGTCATGCCCGCCGAGTCCTGGCCCTGTATACTGTAGGTCCGTCGTCCCTCTGGTCAGTTCAGCCTCGTCTCTCGCACTCACAATCCACCACAACGTCCCAGGATCTGCGCTGTGCGGGCGAACAGACACTTTTACTGAATTTTACTCCATATCGACTCGTGTGAAATAGATAGCCACTGCACATCAGGCATGTGGAAGTCGTGGTCGCGCTTTCGCCTTGGTGGCACAGGAATGCTGTACAATTCGATCCTGTTCCCACGGGTCCTTATACCCTCTCCTCTCCTCTCCGTTATTACAGGTATGCGAGGTCCAGAGCGGTGCACCGGTACACACAGTAACCCCTGGTCTCGCGTGTTGTTTCCCCCACAGATAGCGTTGCCATGCCCCGGTCCTTCCTGGTGAAGAGCAAGCGGTGTCTGTCGCACAACCTGCGCCGGTTTGTCGACCAGGAGCGCACTGCGGACAAGCAGTCGGCGGAGACTCACGGCGAGAGTAAGACCGGCAGAGACTCAGTCTCGTATTTATGGTTTTCTTCACAACACGCTGTCGCGCTGCCCCCTGCACAGGGCTGCGCCATGTGGATAAACCTGGAAAGACGATGCGGCCCTTTGCTTACATTTTTTTTCCTTTTGAAATTTGACTGTTCCTTTCGTGTTCAAAACGCCTTTCTTTTGCCAGAACTCGGCTCCTGAAAACCTCAAACTGAAACGCACCCGCTGCCAGGTTTCAAAATAGCTTCTGTATCGTCAAAGGCAAAATAATAATAATAATAATTAAGATCATATTGGCGATGTCTGAGTAGAACTTTTTTTTTTTTAATTGCGCAACGCCGTTAACGGTTCTTGAAAAACCTCACCTCGGTTCGGCCCGAGAGAGGGCGCAACAGTACTCAAGTCACATGAAAAAAAAAAAAACTACCCATAAAGAATAAATTCACATGCTGGGATGTAGGTGATTTCTTAAAAAAAAAAAACGATTATGCAGCGCTCAATGTAAGTTATCGTTCTAGCAAACAGGCGATGTTTTGTTGTAACATGTCGTTGTTTCTAGTGGGCGCTATCTGTCAGAGCAGCACGAACACCTGTCTGGCTAGGAGATAGGCCGTGTTGCGGTGACTGTGAAACTCGCTACAGCCGGGCTCCTGTTTCTTTTGGAGCCGGCTTAGATTACTTTGAGCGGCTCTGCTTCATGGAAATCGTGGGGCGGGAGAGCGGTTAGGGTAGGTACCACGGCTATGCAAATGAGTTCTATTCAAATAAAGGTCGTTCAATCCTGCCATATCCCAGATCTAGCCCGGCAGGTGTCCAGAACCAGTCCGACACGGCGTTGTGACACACACCAGCATGGATTTCTGCTCCACTTGACTTCCTGTAATGCCTTTGTAAACGTCTTGCGTTGAAACAGTCCCAGTCTGCAGACCTTCCTAGAAGGTTCCCTAAAGCTACAGAATGTGTAATCTGCAAGCAATCTTTTCTTGAAACTAAAGAAAGAGCAAAAAAAATAAAATAATAATAATTGGGAAAAACTCGAGGTCAGGCTGCAACAGGGGATGTTAAAGCAAGGCTGCTGTTTGACAACATTGTGAGAAGAATGAATATTTGAATGTAATATTCCATTGTTTTCACATGTTTTAAAAGAATACAACCTTAAAACGTATTTATAGCTTTGATGAATAACACATGGTGCAGCTCATAATACAGTCCCACTTTTAAAGCTTTAAAGAGGTTTGCAGGCGACGGTGCAGTGCCAGTCCTGTAGAACCCCAGTGCAGTGTCTGGTCCTGTAGAACCCCAGTGCAGTGTCTGGTCCTGTAGAACCCCAGTGCAGTGTCTGACCCTGTAGAACCCCAGTGCAGTGGCCAGTCCTGTAGAACCCCAGTGCAGTGCCAGTCCTGTAGAACCCCAGTGCAGTGTCTG